GTGCCATTCACGAGCCTGCTGGACCAGAAGAGGGCACGGCTGCTGCACCTGTCCACTACCAGGGGCTCCCGAACGACGCACGCCAGAGCGACTACCACGCCGGCCACCCCGACTGCCCAAACCGGCGTACCACTCACGAGCCTGCTGGAGCAGAAGAGGGCACGTCTGCTGCACCGGTCTACTACCAGAGGCTCCCGAACGACGCACTCCAGAGCGACTACCACTACGGCCACCCCGACTGCCCAAGCCGGCGTACCACTCACGAGCCTGCTGGAGCTGCATCTGGCCACGTCAGGAGCAGCAGCAGTAGCGGCAGCAACAGCAGGAGCAGTAAAGGCAGTAGCAGCAGCAGTAACGGTAGCAGTGCTAGCACGGCAAAGCTCACCAGTGGTTGGTGCGGCGGGCGCAAGACAGTGGCGACAGCGTGGCCGCTGCAACAGCGGGGCGGGGCCAGGTCGTAGCAGGGAGCTCCGCGGCAGCTGCTGCAGGGTCTGTGGCGGCCGCTGCTGTAGGCTCGGCGGCGGCAGCTGCTGCAGGTCGAGCGGCGGCTGCTGCTGTAGGGTCGGCGGCGGCCGCTGCTGTAGGCTCGGCGGCGGCTGCTGCTGCAGGGTCGGTGGCGGCTGCTGCAGCTGCTGCAGGTCGAGCGGCGGCTGCTGCTGCAAGCTCGGCGGCGGCAGCTGCTGCAGGTCGAGCGGCGGCTGCTGCTGCAGGCTCGGCGGCGGCAGCTGCTGCAGGTCGAGCGGCGGCTGCTGCTGCAGGGTCGGCGGCGGCCGCTGCTGTAGGCTCGGCGGCGGCTGCTGCTGCAGGGTCGGCGGCGGCTGCTGCTGCAGGCTCGGCTGCTGCAGCTGCTGCAGGTCGAGCGGCGGCTGCTGCTGCAAGCTCGGCGGCGGCAGCTGCTGCAGGTCGAGCGGCGGCTGCTGCTGCAGGCTCGGCGGCGGCCGCTGCTGTAGGCTCGGCGGCGGCTGCTGCTGCAGGGTCGGCGGCGGCTGCTGCTGCAGGCTCGGCTGCTGCTGCTGCGGCTGCTGCAGCTGCTGCAGGTCGAGCGGCGGCTGCTGCTGCAAGCTCGGCGGCGGCAGCTGCTGCAGGTCGAGCGGCGGCTGCTGCTGCAGGCTCGGCGGCGGCAGCTGCTGCAGGTCGAGCGGCGGCTGCTGCTGCAGGCTCGGCGGCGGCAGCTGCTGCAGGTCGGCGGCGGCTGCTGCTGCAGGTTCGGTGGCGGCAGCTGCTGCAGACGAAGACGAAGCCGCGAAGGGGCGGCTGAGGGATCGCGCGCGGGCGGCTAGCGGGTCACGCGCGCGAAGAATCGGCCGCGCGCGGGCGGCTAGCGAGGCGCGCGCGCGAAAAATCGGCCGCGCACGGGCGGCTAGCGAGTCGCGCGCGTTAAAAACGAGCCGCGCGCGGGTGGCTAGCGGGCTGCGTGCGCGCGGTAGGTAGAGGCGCACGAGGGCGCTAAGGCGCACGAGGGCGCGCGGTAGGTAGAGGCGCACGAGGGCGCGCGGTAGGTAGGGGCGCACGAGGGCGCGAAGGCGCACGAGGGCGCTCGGTAGTGAGAGGCGCACGAGGGCGCACGAGGGCGCACGAGGGCGCACGAGGGCGCACGATAGGTAGGTAGGTAGGTAGGTAGCGGTGGGCCCTAGGAGCGGTCCTAGCAAAGGACCTGCTCTGATACCATGTCAGAATGAACAGGCAGGAATGAGTGAACTAGCAGCATGCAGGAGTACAAGTAGTAAACCCTAATTTGGGTTGTACCCCATATGGGCTACCCCACTACAGCCTAGACAGTATGCAGCACATATATTTGACACGTAGTGCGGGAAGGGAGTGTCGGTGCACGCTCGCTCACTTGCTGCACCTCCTCCTCTTCTTCCTCTGCATCCTTGGCCTCCTCTCCCCCATTCACAAGGGAAGATTGCCTTGTGGTGGTGCTGCCACTGCTCAGCTCCAAAGGCAGCTCCACGTGCTCCAGCCCGGAACTCTTCACCTCTCCAAACCGCACGCCTATCTTCGCCTCATTCTCCGCCTTCCAATCCTTGTACATGAAGTTCTCCATGAACTTGCAGTCCCTGCTCACCAAGAACTTCTTGGTGAATGGGTCCCAAAGAAGCCACCCCTTGCTGTTTTGAGCCATGCCCAAGTGCACGGCCCACACCGCCTTGGCACCAAGCTTGTTGTGCCGAAGATGCTTAGGTACGAGTGCCATGCACATGCACCCGAACACCCGAAGCATGTCCACCTTTGGCTTTCTTCCAAGCCACTCCACATAGGGAACCCATTTTTCTGCCCCCAAATGAGTCAAAACTCTGTTCTTGGCCACACACGCGCTCCGCACCGCATCAGGCCAGAAATAGTCGGGTAGCCTGGCTTCAATGAGCAACCCGCGTGCCGCATCCGTGATCGTGCGGTTCGCCCTCTCGGCGATGCCGTTCATTGCAGGGGAGTATGGCATGGTGAGGGAGTGCCGAATACCATTCTTATTTAGCCACAACCCAAACTCCTTGCTCAAGAACTCTCCCCTTCGGTAGGTGCGGATCGACTTCACTAGACGGTCTTGTTGCCGCTCCACCATCGGGAACCAATCCGTCTTCAACGTTTCCGCCACGTCGCTCTTCTTCGGCAGCACATACACCCAGGTCATGCGGGTGTAGACGTCGACAATGGTGAGGAAGTACTCTGCTCCAGCAGCTCCAAGCTTCAAGGGGCCCACCACGTCCATCACCACCTCGTCAAGTGGTGCCTTTGCCGTTGCCTCCGAACTAGAGAACGGGAAACGGGTGAACTTGGCTTGCAAGCACGTCGGGCAGCCAAGTACCTCATCGGGCTCCCCCTAGACACGTATGCTAGCAACCATCTGGTTCTTCAATAGCTGCTGCAAGATTGGCAGGGCCACATGCCCTATTCGCCAATGCAAAGTCAACCAATCACACTCCCCCGTAGCCGAAGTCGGATTGGAGAATGCCGCGCTCGCAATAGCGCCCCACATACTCTCTCCGTACTCCTCCTTCGCTGCTGCCTTGGGGTTCTCCTCACCCTTGTGCTGCTCCTTGGCTGCTGCACCACTCTCCTTGTGGTCACCGAGCTTGCTGGTTCCTCCATGTTTGCTCTTCTTGGACTCCTTCTCCTTAGCGCGACCGTCCGCGCTATCGCCGCTACCAACCGCGTCACCCTTGGTGCTGACGCTTGCTGCCACTTGCCTCTCCTTAGGCATGGGGACCACAGGGATCTGCCACATCTCGTTGTAGACATCCCTATCCTCGTGAAGGTCCCATAGAATCCGGTCGCCAATCCTTGCGGTGTAGGTCTTGGCTCCCTTCGAGTTCGTGTCCATGCCGGCCTTTGCCAACCGCCGCACGGAAATCAGGTTCGCAGCAAGGCTGGGCACCCAAAGCACGTTCTTGAGGCCCACCATCTTCCCATCAGCACCTTTGAACATGGCCTTGCCCATGCCTTTCACCTCTGCTCGCTGCCCCAAAGCCGATGTCACATGCTTCACCGGTGACGGCTCGAGTTCGGTGAGCAAGTCGGGGCGAGGTGTCATGCTATAGGTAGCGCCGCTGTCGATCACCCAATAGTCCAGGGGGTGTAGGGTCACCTTCCCCACAGCTGCTGGCTCCTCAAAGCCTTCATCCTTCTCTGGACCAGCCGGTACTTGCGTCGACACGAAGTAGAATAGACCCGGGTACCGATCGTCCTTCGAGTCCTTGTCGTTATCTCCACTCTTCATGTTCGCGCCTAAAACAAAAGATAGAGTGCGTAGTCAGATTTCTGCACAGCGGCTTTAAACGTTCATAGCGATCTGCTCACAACTCCAAATGACCTCATTCAACTTGGATCTGGAGCGGCTCAACGTTGCCTACAATATGCAATTTAGATCGCACGATTTCATCAAGTATTGACGACACAGCGTCAGATTGAACGAACGGCACTATGGCAGCAACATAGTCTTAGAACACAATTACGAACAACTAGGAAGAGCTGCAAGTTGGGAAGGACTCCCAGCTCCTACAAACCCCAAGAGCCGCGGTGCAGTGATGTGGAACAGTGCCACACTATCCCCAACCAAGAAGGGTCTCGAAACTACCCTTCACAAGGGCCTACACCCATGGAAATGTTACACTACACATTGTAATGTAACAATCTTCAATATCTTGAGGTGTACCCTTTCGGCGAGCTTCGAAATCACTTGAAGCTTGCAACCAAGGCTCGGGTTCTTCATCACAAACTCATCCTTGAGTTCTTGATGGGCCTGCTGCACACACCTGCGACACGCCGAACGTTCGACAAGCGACAAAATAGAAACCGCGCACGACAAAAATGGAAACCGCGCAGGACACACAAAATGACCGTGTTACACGCGACTAGCGATTATTCGCAATTGACTTGACACACATACTCGACATCATGACCCATCATTCACACACCATTATAAGCATGAAATATATATTTATTTCATGCACTCATACCACTCCATGCACACACGCATGCACGCACACGCACACGGACAACAAGCCGAGTGCAAACCGTAGGGTTGCACCAACAAACTCCCCCTTGGGTTGTTGGCCTTAGGATCTGTTGCTCTCAGTTCAGAGCCATCCCAGCCAGCTTGCAACACTTCCAATGCTGCTGCTCCACCAGCCGCTTGGTCATCATGTCCGCTGGCTACACCGTAGTCTTCACGTAGCGCAATTCAACTTCACCCGCGGCCACCATGCTCCTTGTCCAGTGCCACTCCATGCAACACGGGGTTCTTGGCTAGAGCAATGGCTCCCTGGCTGTCACAGTAGAGAGTAGGTTCTTGCTGCTCCTCCCCCATTTCAACCAACAAACGCCGCTGCCACACAATCTCCCAATAAGGCACGGAAGAGTGCCATGTACTCGGACTCCAACGAGCTCAATGCTTGGTCCACCAGCTTCTTACTCTCCCAAACAGTTGGGCCTCCACCAACACAACAAATGAACCCTCCAACACTTTTCATGTTTTCTGGTTCCGATGCATAGGATGCATCCTAGAAACCGGTGAGGAACAAACGGCCGGGTTCAACAACATCCGTACCCTTTTGGCGCCTTTGTGCCGCCGCCGAGTATTGCAGCCCAACGGTCGGTGTTTGGCCAAGATACTTGGCCACCCTCATTCCAGCTGCTACCTGCTCCTCATTAGGGCATTGGACAACCCTTGCCAACTGCTCGGTAGCAAACGCGATATTCGGTCGAGTGTTGACCGCCGCATACATGAGGCTGCCCACCAATGAGTGAAAACGGCGCCTCTCCTCTTCACCCACGCTCTCCTCCTCTGGTCCCTTCACACACTTGAACTTAGAGGGAAAGGGTGTAGCCACATGGCCTTCATTCTGCCCAAACTTGGCAGCCAAGGCCTCCAGGTACTTGCGTTGGTGCACCCGCATGCACCGCTTCTCCACATCACGCTCGATGTGAAGCCCGAGGTAAAAGTTCACGTCCCCAAGGGACTTGCACTTGAACTTGTCTTGAAGCTTCAGCATCACCTCCTTCACAAGGTCAGAGGAGGGTGAGAAGATCAGGATGTCGTCCACGTACACCACCATGAAGCTCCTCTGCTCCCCCTCGCCAAGCATGAACAAGGAATGATCGGCCGTTGAGGGAGTGAAGCCGATCTCCTCCAACACTTCGCGCAGCTTCAGGTACCACTGCCTAGGGGCCTTCTTCAGCTTCCACACTCTGCCGCTGCCATCGTCAAACCCCTCTGGCTGCGCCATGAAAATCTCCTCCTCGAGGATTCCGTTGAGGAACGCCGTTACGATGTCTAGCTGCTTCACCACCCAACCTTTGATCGCGGCTCCCGCGAGTAGGGTTCGCAGCGTCGTCGGCTTCACCATAGGAGCAAACAGCTCCTTGTAATCCACATTCTCCTTCTTCTGGTACCCCTTGGCCACCATCCTCGACTTGTAGCGCTCGATCTTTCCGTCGGCGTCGGACTTGATCTTGAAGAGCCACTTGGACGTTATCGCCGTACGCCCCTCCGGTAGCTCCACCAACTCAAACGTGTCATTCTCCTCGATGCTCTTCAGCTCACTCTCCATGGCCTTCTTCCACTCCTCAGCATCACTACTCTCCAAGGCTTTCTTGAGAGTTGCTGGTTCTCCCGGCATCTCCACCGGAGAGAAGAACGCGAAGGCACACTCTTCGTAGTCACTCTCCTCGTCGTCTCCAACCATCATTGCCGCTCCGGCCAGGGCCGTCTTGCCCGGCTCTCCCGGCGCATCATATGTCAGCCTCTTAGGGGGTTGGACTTTGCTCTTAGCCCGCCCTTCCTCCTCAGCTGCAGGGACTTGAAGGCCTTGGCGTTGCTGCGGTGTGGCTCGATTCCGTGGAGCGCTCGTAGTGCGGGAAGGATGTGTCGGTGCACGCTCGCTCACTTGCTGCACCTCCTCCTCTTCTTCCTCTGCATCCTTGGCCTCCTCTCCCCCATTCACAAGGGAAGATTGCCTTGTGGTGGTGCTGCCACTGCTCAGCTCCAAAGGCAGCTCCACGTGCTCCAACCCGGAACTCTTCACCTCTCCAAACCGCACGCCTATCTTTGCCTCATTCTCCGCCTTCCAATCCTTGTACATGAAGTTCTCCATGAACTTGCAGTCCCTGCTCACCAAGAACTTCTTGGTGAATGGGTCCCAAAGAAGCCACCCCTTGCTGTTTTGAGCCATGCCCAAGTGCACGGCCCACACCGCCTTGGCACCAAGCTTGTTGTGCCGAAGATGCTGAAGTACGAGTGCCATGCACATGCACCCGAACACCCGAAGCATATCCACCTTTGGCTTCCTTCCAAGCCACTCCACATAGGGCACCCATTTTTCTGCTCCCACATGAGTCAAAACTCTGTTCTTGGCCACACACGCGCTCCGCACCGCATCAGGCAAGAAATAGTCGGGTAGCCTGGCTTCAATGAGCAACCTGCGTGCCGCATCCGTGATCGTGCGGTTCGCCCTCTCGGCGATGCCGTTCATTGCAGGGGAGTATGGCATGGTGAGGGAGTGTCGAATACCATTCTTATTTAGCCACAACCCAAACTCCTTGCTCAAGAACTCTCCCCTTCGGTAGGTGCGGATCGACTTCACTAGACGGTCTTGTTGCCGCTCCACCATCGGGAACCAATCCGTCTTCAACGTTTCAGCCACATCGCTCTTCTTGGCCAGCACGTACACCCAAGTCATGCGGGTGTAAACGTCCACTATGGTGAGGAAATACTCAGCTCCAGCAGCTCCAAGCTTCAGGGGGCCCACCACGTCCATCACCACCTCATCAAGCGGTGCCTTTGCCGTTGCCTCCGAACTAGGGAACGGAAATCGGGTGAACTTGGCTTGCAAGCACGTCGGGCAGCCAAGCACCTCATCGGGCTCCCCGTTGACGCGTATGCCAGCAACCATCTGGTTCTTCACTAGCTTCTACAAGATAGGCAGGGCCACATGCCCCATTCGCCGATGCAAAGTGAGCCAATCACACTCCCCCGTAGCCGAAGTCGGATTGGAGAATGCCGCGCTCGCAATAGCGCCCCACATGCTCTCTCCGTACTCCTCCGCTGCTGCGTCAGGGTTATTCTCACCCTTGTGCTGCTCCTCAGCTGCTGCACCACTCTCCTTATGGTCACACAGCTTGCTGGTCACTCCAGGTTTGCCCTTCTTGGGCTCCTTCTCCTTAGCGCGACCGTCCGCGCAATCGCCGCTACCAACCGCTTCACCCTTGGTGCTGACGCTTGCTGCCACTTGCCTCTCCTTAGGCATGGGGACCACAGGGATCTGCCACATCTCATTGTAGACATCCCTATCCTCATGAAGGTCTCATAGAATCCGGTCACCAATCCTCGCGGTGTAGGTCTTGGCTCCCTTCGAGTTCGTGTCCATGCCGGCCTTCGCCAACCGCCGCACGGAAATCAGGTTCGCAGCAAGGCTGGGCACCCAAAGCACGTTCTTGAGGCCCACCATCTTCCCATCAGCACCCTTGAACATGGCCTTGCCCATGCCTTTCACCTCTGCTCGCTGCCCCAAAGCCGATGTGACATGCTTCACCGGTGACGGCTCGAGTTCGGTGAGCAAGTCGGGGCGAGGTGTCATGCTATAGGTAGCGCCACTATCGATCACCCAAAAGTCCAGGGGGTGTAGGGTCACCTTCCCCACCGCTGCTGGCTCCTCAGGGTCTTCATCCTTCTCTGGACCGCGCCCATAGCTCTTGTCGTCGCTGCCGTATCCGCCACTTCCGCGGCCTCCGCCGAAGTTGTTGCCCCCTCGTCTTCTGCCTCTTCCTCAACCATATCCACGGCCAATGCTTGCTGCCCCAGCGCCATCCGCACTCGCCAACTCACGGCGGCGGAAGTCCTCTTGTAGGATCGCGCGCTTCACGTCTTCAAGCGAGAGACGGGGCAAGTCACGGTTCAGGTTAATGATGAGTTAGGACCACGACTCGGGGAGTAGGGCCAGCAACTTGGTCTTCTTTTGGAGCTCACTGTAGTTCAAATCAGCTCCCTCAAGCCGCGTCAACAAGTCGAAGAATTTCTGCACCCCTTCTTCCACGGGTTCATCTTCTTCAATCCGTAGCGTCGCCATTTGCCGTTCCAACACCACAGCTACCGCCGCTGTTGCAGGAGCGTGTACACCCTTGAGAGCAGCCCATGCCTTTGGTCCCTTCTCTGGTTCACGCTGGAAAGGCTTGATGTGACGGATTTGAGTGCTCCCCAACGCTTGCCCAAGTAGGAGGTAGCCTTGTGCGCTCTTCCGCACCCACGGGCTCTTCTCCGGGTCGTTCTCGGGACGCTTCTCCGTTCCTTCCATCACCTCCAGCAGATCATAGTGGTCAAACACATTCTCCATTCTGAAGGACCATTCAGCAAAGTTGTCGCCGTTGAACTTTTCAAGCCCGAACACTCTTGGCTCATCCCTTGAAGGCCCAAGAGTAGGTTGCACGGGCGCCATGGCTGAATCACGGGCTTGGCCTTGTGCTAAGGCTTCTCCATTGCCTCCAGCACCTCTGCCACCCCTCTCTTCAGGTCCAGCCATCGTCGTAGCTGCTCCAAGGCGCTCTGATACCACTTGTTATAGACACAGTAGGCTACAATGCGCCAAAACGAAAGATAGAGTGCGCAGTCAGATTTCTGCACAGCGGCTTTAAACATTCATAGCGATCTGCTCACAACTCCAAATGACCTCATTCAACTTGGATCTAGAGCGTCTTAACGTCGCCTACAACAGGCAATTTAGATCGCACGATTTCATCAAGTATTGACGACACAGCGTCAGATTGAACGAACGGCACTATGGCAGCAACATAGTCTTAGAAACACAATTACGAACAACTAGGAAGAGTTACAAGTTGGGAAGGACTCCCAGCTCCTACAAACCCCAAGAGCCGAGGTACAGTGATGGGGAACAGTGCCACACTGTCCCCAACCAAGAAGGGTCTCGAAACTACCCTCCACAAGGGCCTACACCCATAGAAATGTTACACTACACATTGTAATGTAACTATCTTCAATATCTTGAGGTGTTTCCTTTCGCGGACTTCGAGATCACTCGAGTCTCGACACCAAGGCTCGGGTTCTTCATCACAAAAACTCATCCTTGAGTTCTTGATAGGTCTGCTGCACACACCTGCGACACGCCGAACGTTCGACATAGGACAAAATAGAAACCGCGCACGGGACACGCGACAAAATAGAAACCGCGCGCGAGACACAAATGACCGCATTAACACGCGGCTAGCGATAACTCGCTATTGACTCGACACACACACACTCGACATCATGACCCATCATACACACACCATTATAAGCATGAAATATATATTTATTTCATGCACTCATACCACTCCATGCACACACGCATGCACGCACACGCACACGGACAACAAGCCGAGTGCAAACCGTAGGGTTGCACCAACAGTGGTGACGTTGTGATCCACCCTGAGATTGCTGCTCTTTTCTTGACTGGTCTTGTGACCCCTTGCTCTCCCCCACTTTGCCTATGGGGGTGTGTCAAACTATATATGTTATATTTGTGTAGGCTGTAGTGGGGTAGCCAATATGGGGTACAACCCCTCTAGGGTTTGATACTTGTACCCAACTTGACCTAATGCATTCATTCCTGCCTAGACTTTCTGACAACTCACCGTGTCTTCTTCTCTCGCCGTGCCTTGTGCTCTCGCCATGGTGTATGCCCTGATGGCAGGCAGGCGCTGCGCCGCGACGTGAAGGAGGGTGACTTTATTGTCATCCCCGCTAGCTACCCATTCGCTGCTGTGAGTGGAAAAGGCGTTTGCGTGCTCATTATATTGGTGTTCTGTTTCCCATTCCCTCGCCCCTAACTGTTGCTTACTGATTAAGTGTATTCTCCGACAGTTATGTTCCACTTTCCTAACCTTTCCCCTGGCCTTCCGCCTCCCTTCTCGTTTGTCTCTTCCCATTAGTGTGCAGATGGCATACTAGGATGGTCTGTGTTGAAGGAAATTGGCCCCGCCCTCGCATGGGCAAATTGACTTGTGGTCGGGTGTGTGGGAGGTGCAGCCGACCTTCCGCAGAGGTCGACGAAGGTGGTCGTCGACCTGCGCGGAACCACTGTGACTTCGTCGACGAAGGAGTTTGACGTAGGAGTTCAACGAGGATGGTCGACGAAGCAGTTCGTCGACCAGAGTGGCGCAGCTGGTGCAGAAGTTCGCGGGTGTTCGTCTGCGCAGGGTCTCGTCTGACTTTGCGCAACATTGAGACTGCACAGGCGAATTTTGGCCAGAAATTCGAATGTGCCTTAATTTCGACCAATCAGGAGCTGACATTTTGGAATCTCGACCGAGGTGTCCAACGAAGATGGTCGACGAAGGTCGTCGACCCCCGACGACGAAGGTCGTCGACCCGCGACGACGAAGGTCGTCGTGATGACGAAGGTCATCATCCTGCAGAGATGGCAGGGACTTCATTTGGTTGACCAAGTTACCTGCTCGACGAGTGCGCGAAGGTGTGCGAACGTCGTCGAGGCTGCTGTGGCGAAGTCGACCGACGTGGCAGCACGTGGTCGACGTGGCTCATCATGTGCAACCGTCAGCATGTGGCTGACAACTTGCGCGATGTACTTGACAGTGCACGTTGTGCATAACTGTCTACAAGCACCTGCGAAGTAGGTGCTTGCACATGCGCTTACAATCACCTGCGGATGCTGCGTTGGCAAGCCACGCGGGAGCAGCGTTGGCAAGTCGCACACAAGCTGCGTCGGCGGGCCGTGGAGATGTTGCGTTGGCATGTCATCAACTTTGTCGTGCTGGCGATCGACCTGCCTGAGCACTAGCAATCCTTACATGTGATGTCGTCAATCTTTGCCATTGCTTATTCGAGCATTCTGAACTCTGTTATTCTCAACTTTCCTTAGTGAAACTCTTGCTGTTTTGCCCTATGAAACACAAGTCCTAGAGTAGCGGACACCTTGGAGACTCGTTTAGCTGATGGGAGGAGACACCACGAGGCTGGTGAGAACGGGACGATCCCCTTGGAGATCGTCGAGTTGGGCATCCGGGCGCAGTGGGCGACGGAGCACCCTTCCCGTCCTGCATCTCCTCGACCGGCACGCAACGAAGGTGGCGTCGACGAGGTGGTCGACGACGGTGCACGAGTCCGTGGCAACGAGGGCACGAGGCAGATAGGAGTGCTCAGTGTCAGAAGAAGAGACTGGAATGATTGAACTAACAGAGAAATCAGTACAAATAGCAAACCCTAGAATTGTGTACCCCATATAGACTAACCCACTGTAGCCTAACAAACCCAACATATATAATGTTTGACACACCCCCATAGGCAAAGTGGGGGAGACCTAGGGGTCACAAGATCAGTCAAGGCAAAGCAAGGCAACAACAAGCTCAGGGTGGATCTCGAGGATTCCACACAAATTCCGAGCACAAGCTAGTGGTCACAAGACCAGTTCACATGCAGGTTTATAACAGAGTCAGAGATACAGTGATCACAACCTAGCAAGAGTAAACATGCAGGTATAAATATATATAGTGATCACAGTACAAGCAAAGTCAAGAGGTAAGCAAGTGAGGTCCAGTAGGCACAAGGCCTAGTAGAGTGCAGAAGCGCTGATGGTCACGAGGCTGAAGCGCCTTGGTGAACACATCAGCAGTGTTGGCCTCAGTGGCCACGTAGCGAATACAAAGCTGACCGCGCTGCTGCAGCTCTCGAGCAAGGAAGTACCGCAGAGCGATGTGCTTCGTTCTGTGCTCCAGTCTGTGCTCCTCACAAAAGGCAATGGCAGCCTTGTTGTCGACGTACAGTACTGGAGGAGAACGAGGCGGCTCTCCGAGGTCAGTCAGCAGGTAGGTCAGCCAGCGTAGCTCCTGGGCAGCCATGGCTGTAGCGTAGATCTCAGCCTCACAACTGGAGCCGAGAACAGAAGAAGAGCGTGTAGAGCGCCAAGAAACTGAGCCAGAGCCAAGGCTGAAGGTGTAACCCTGGGACGACCGCTGAGTAGCCTGGTCGTCTGCCCAAGAAGCGTCTGAGTGCCCTGTGAGCACAACTCGGTCTCGCCCTCCAAGCACAAGCCCCATGCCCGACGTACTGCACAAGTAGCGCAACACCCTCTTAGCGGCATCCATGTGCTCCTTCCTGTGACGGCCAGGAGCGACATAGCGTGCAAGGATGCTAAGAGGGTATGCAAGGTCAGGTCGAGTGCAGGTCATCAGGTACATGAGGCAGCCCACAAGCTCTGGATACGGGCCACTCGGCTCTATGGACTCATCCGAAGGCAGAGCTGAGAGCGAGTGACCGGCAGGCAGAGGAGTGGACTGAGGCGAGGAGTACGTGAAGCCAAAGCGCTGGAGAACCTGCTGCACCATGTGTGACTGAGTCAAGGTGATGGTGCGCCGTGCTCTGTCCCGGGTGATCCGCAAGCCAAGATAGCTTGTCAGCTCACCCAGGTCTGTGCACGTGTGTCTCCTCTGCAGCTCCGACTTCACGTAGGCGAGTCCTGCAGTGTCAGCAGTGGCAAAGACCAAGTCGTCGACGTACACGAGGATGTAGAACGGCGGCAGCGAAGTGTCGGTGCGCAGGAACAGCGACGGGTCAGCTGTAGAAGGCGCG